TTATTCATTTATTTCTTTTTTCTTTTTTAAATTTTAAACCGTCAATCATCAAAACGGATACCCACATCGCGACCCTCATTTATCACAGCCATTTTGAAATTAAGGGCATGAGTCCAAAGTCTAAACTCTAAAATCCAGTCTAAATTTTACGACATGCAGTCTGGAATTTTACATCACTTTGTACGAACTTTGTACTTAGTAGTACTGTAGCTTGAAAACAGACTACTAAACGGCCTTGTGGGATCCCTGTGGACCCATCACATGCTGCGCTGGGACCCGTCACTACGCGCCGTCGCTGGGGGACAGGAAATACTTTTTTAAAAGTACTTTGAAAAATATTAGAAAACAAATCTAATATTGCTGCGAAATATTAAATCTGTTTCCTTGAAGGCCACCTACATTTTCACAATAAAGGATAAGATGTGGAGCCAAGAGATTTTATATCCTCCGGATATGTCTTGAACGTGGGCTGAGGGTTAACGACGGAAGCCACGTTCATCTGGTACTGTTACTCCCATGTGCATTTCATTTACGTATAGTACTAGTCATTTCTAATAGAAAGTGAGTGCTGCGAGTAGCTATTCAGGTGGTATACTTTTTTTCAAGCTACCTGTTTCGCGAAATCCAATCTGCAATTGCGAAATTATGAACACATAAAAGAGCACTGTCTCTCCCTTGAAACAGGAGGAGCCAACGGGGTCTGTTCTACTAAATAACTGTTCTTACGAATGTTTTCCTGGGAAAGGGATTTTGACGGCTACTGTTGACAATCTCACAAGCAAATGTGGCGCCCTTCCTTCTTTAAAATAACTTTGTTCCTGTCAAACGTTTCTAAGGTCAAAAAGAGCTCATACAACATTTTCATGGTCAAATTTCTTTCTTTTTTTTTTTTTTTTCATAGTTAGGAAATTTTTATTTTCCTGGCAAAACTTTTTAAAAAGTTTTTAAAAAGTTTTCTTTGCCTGAAAGATCTGTTTTCCTGAATTTCTCGCTGGGACATAAGAACAGAGTATTTCTCCCAGGAATCCGTCGGCTCCTCCTACTTGAAACGACATTTTAAAAAACGTTCATGACCTTGATGAATATATACTTCCACGAATAAATAAACGTGACCTTGGCATCTAAAAAGTATAAATAAAATAGCGCACTAATTCAAACACAAGCCAAACTCGTACAACAAGGGAGGATTGGAATTGCACCGTAGATCCTTGGCGTGTTCTTAATATAGGGACATGCTTGAAGATCGTATGTGCCGGCCGTGTGTTCTGTTAGGGGTATCCTTGAATCGACATGAGAAGTCCATATATTTATAACTCAATATTCAAAGGTTAACCACTGTTTTTTCTGTGGCCTAGTCAAAATGCCCCAACGACCACCATCATCCACTAATTGAAGAATAAATTGTGCTAGGACCTGCACCCTAGCACCTGAGAGTTAGTATTTGTTATGAGGGATTTTAAACTTGAGTTTTAATATTTTAGTTCCTGAGATTTCCTCCCTCTAGTACCTTCTTGAATTATAAGTCAGGGACTAACAAAATTAAGTCCGTGATATGTGAGTCTTTCTAGATCATCTACTTCAGACCTCGTACGTGACTCGAGGGCTACAACAGGGATCCCATAAAAAATACCGAACTGCAAGAAGGCTAGCTATTTCTTTTCTGTTGTTTTGTTTCCTCATGTCTCACTTAACRATCCCTGCTGTTTCTCGGAATAATACGTGACATGTGAACTATTGTTTATATAACGTGTCGAATTAGTGGAGAACTTGTTTATTTTCAAGTCCACAGGAAGCCCGCGGTGGTTTCTACTTCTTGTCGTCTTCCTTATTTGTAAACTTGCTCGATGCCATATTTGTTTTKTCGTGAATAATTATCCTTATTTGTAARATCACTTGGATCATATGCAGTAGTGTCCACAATGGCTGGTGGCCAGGAAAGCTTTTGACGATGATTACAAGGTTCAGTTTGTAAAGGCAGAGAAACACGAARCTTTATAACTTTAGCTTAATTCCTTTTCGAAATTTTAAAATCGAAATGTATTGCTCAAGATTTAGTCGATTTACAAGCCTCGTGCTTGGTATGCAACGTTCCTCGCGTATTCTGTGTAAGACATGTCCAAGTTTCGTTCGCTGTTGTKCTGCTGGAGTTACGAAGTTCAACATGAAGCAAATAGCTCCAAGCCCAGATGCCTTTGTTGGMCGCCACATCGGACCAAGTGAAGAAGAGCAAAGAGAGATGTTGAAAAGTATGGGTCTAGAGGTAAGCTTAATGTCTCGATCACTTGGAGTGTTTATTGACTTGACTTTAACCTCGTGTTTTTTGATACTAGCTGTTATGTCTTTTGTAGTTTTTGTTTACAAATATGAATAAGCTTAAGTACTTGTGTAAGTTTAGTTAAAACTTCTCGTTTGGGATAACCTCAATAATTTCGTACTACTTTGCGCTTCTTGCATCTTGTACGCGCGAAAGAAGCTTCTAGATTTCTTCTAAAGTCTTTTATCTGTAGTTGTTTTATCCTGAAAAGCAACCTTGCATAAGWWTTACGCAAGTTAAACTTAACATTTATAACGTTTCTTTGACAAGCCCTAGCGTACAAATGCTTCTCATACTAGTCTAGTAGGTCATTATAAATAAGGTGAGGAGAGGTTACTGTTTGCCGTTGCGTAACTCTCCCATTTGAAAATTATAARGGKTTYMWT